TCCGACAGTTACCTGATGGCTACAGTACCATTCTGGGGGAGAGAGGAGTTACCGTGTCTGGGGGCCAGAAACAGAGGATAGCTATCGCCCGCGCTCTACTGAAAATCCCATCCATCCTCATACTAGACGAGGCTACCAGGTTAGTTGCAAGGGAATGACTTGATTGTAAAACATGTTAAAAATGTAACATGTAAAAATGTAACATGTGGAAATATAAGAAGTTAAAATGTAACATGTTAAAATGTAACGTGTTAAAATGTAACATTTTAAAATGTAACATGCTTAATGTAACGTGTTAAAATGTAACATATTAATATGTAACATGTAAAAATGTAACATGTAAAATTGTAACCTTTTAAAATGTAACATGCTTAAAGGTAACTTGTTAAAATGTAACACATAAAAACGTTATGAGTACTGGTATGAGTAAAAGTTTTTATGTCAGCTTGGTGGTTGAGTGATTATAGTACTGCTGTACTCGCCTTGTAATCAGAAGGTAGCTGGTTTGATTCTATGTTACTTTGTTTGTATTACCTGTCACTAGTTTGGTATTACTAATTTAATTAATCTTTGTCACAGGTGTACGAGGCTGCTGGGCTGGCCAATGCTGACAGTTTTATCCGACAGTTCCCTGATGGCTACAGTACCATTCTGGGGGAGAGAGGAGTTACCGTGTCTGGGGGCCAGAAACAGAGGATAGCTATCGCCTGCGCTCTACTGAAAATCCCATCCATCCTCATACTAGACGAGGCTACCAGGTTAGTTGCAAGGGAATGACTTGATTGTAAAACATGTTAAAATGTAACATGTAAAAATGTAACATGTGGAAATATAAGAAGTTAAAATGTAACATGTTAAAATGTAACGTGTTAAAATGTAACATTTTAAAATGTAACATGCTTAAATGTAACGTGTTAAAATGTAACATATTAAAAATGTACATGTAAAAATGTAACATGTAAAATTGTAACCTTTTAAAATGTAACATGCTTAAAGGTAACTTGTTAAAATGTAACACATTAAAAACACCTGTGACATGTAACACATTAAAATGTAACATGTTAAAATGTAACGTGTTAAAATGTAACATTTTAAAATGTAACATGCTTAAATGTAACGTGTTAAAATGTAACATATTAAAATGTAACATGTAAAAATGTAACATGTAAAATTGTAACCTTTTAAAATGTAACATGCTTAAAGGTAACTTGTTAAAATGTAACACATTAAAAACGTTATGAGTACTGGTATGAGTAAAAGTTTTTATGTCAGCTTGGTGGTTGAGTGATTATAGTACTGCTGTACTCGCCTTGTAATCAGAAGGTAGCTGGTTTGATTCTATGTTACTTTGTTTGTATTACCTGTCACTAGTTTGGTATTACTAATTTAATTAATCTTTGTCACAGGTGTACGAGGCTGCTGGGCTGGCCAATGCTGACAGTTTTATCCGACAGTTCCCTGATGGCTACAGTACCATTCTGGGGGAGAGAGGAGTTACCGTGTCTGGGGGCAAGAAACAGAGGATAGCTATCGCCTGCGCTCTACTGAAAATCCCATCCATCCTCATACTAGACGAGGCTACCAGGTTAGTTGCAAGTGAATGACTTGATTGTAAAACATGTTAAAATGTAACATGTAAAAATGTAACATGTGGAAATATAAGAAGTTAAAATGTAACATGTTAAAATGTAACGTGTTAAAATGTAACATTTTAAAATGTAACATGCTTAAATGTAACGTGTTAAAATGTAACATATTAAAATGTAACATGTAAAAATGTAACATGTAAAATTGTAACCTTTTAAAATGTAACATGCTTAAAGGTAACTTGTTAAAATGTAACACATTAAAAACGTTATGAGTACTGGTATGAGTAAAAGTTTTTATGTCAGCTTGGTGGTTGAGTGATTATAGTACTGCTGTACTCGCCTTGTAATCAGAAGGTAGCTGGTTTGATTCTATGTTACTTTGTTTGTATTACCTGTCACTAGTTTGGTATTACTAATTTAATTAATCTTTGTCACAGGTGTACGAGGCTGCTGGGCTGGCCAATGCTGACAGTTTTATCCGACAGTTACCTGATGGCTACAGTACCATTCTGGGGGAGAGAGGAGTTACCGTGTCTGGGGGCCAGAAACAGAGGATAGCTATCGCCCGCGCTCTACTGAAAATCCCATCCATCCTCATACTAGACGAGGCTACCAGGTCAGTTGCAAGGGAAAGACTTGATCATAAAAAATGTTAAAATGTAACATGTAAATATGTAAAATGTAAAAATGTAGACGACGACGACGACGACGACGACGACGACGACGACGACGACGAACGACGACGACGACGACGACGACGACGACGACGACGACGACGACGACGACGACCGACGACGACGACGACGACGACGACGACGACGACGACGACGACGACGACGACGACGACGACGACGACGACGACGACGACGACGACGACGACGACGACGACGACGACGACGACGACGACGACGACGACGACGACGACGACGACGACGACGACGACGACGACGACGACGACGACGACGACGACGACGACGACGACGACGACGACGACGACGACGACGACGACGACGACGACGACGACGACGACGACGACGACGACGACGACGACGACGACGACGACGACGACGGTTTTTATGTCAGCTTGGTGGTTGAGTGATTATAGTACTGCTGTACTCGCCTTGTAATCAGAAGGTAGCTGGTTTGATTCTATGTTACTTTGTTTGTATTACCTGTCACTAGTTTGGTATTACTAATTTAATTAATCTTTGTCACAGGTGTACGAGGCTGCTGGGCTGGCCAATGCTGACAGTTTTATCCGACAGTTACCTGATGGCTACAGTACCATTCTGGGGGAGAGAGGAGTTACCGTGTCTGGGGGCCAGAAACAGAGGATAGCTATCGCCCGCGCTCTACTGAAAATCCCATCCATCCTCATACTAGACGAGGCTACCAGGTTAGTTGCAAGGGAATGACTTGATTGTAAAACATGTTAAAATGTAACATGTAAAAATGTAACATGTGGAAATATAAGAAGTTAAAATGTAACATGTTAAAATGTAACGTGTTAAAATGTAACATTTTAAAATGTAACATGCTTAAATGTAACGTGTTAAAATGTAACATATTAAAATGTAACATGTAAAAATGTAACATGTAAAATTGTAACCTTTTAAAATGTAACATGCTTAAAGGTAACTTGTTAAAATGTAACACATTAAAAACGTTATGAGTACTGGTATGAGTAAAAGTTTTTATGTCAGCTTGGTGGTTGAGTGATTATAGTACTAGCTGTACTCGCCTTGTAATCAGAAGGTAGCTGGTTTGATTCTATGTTACTTTGTTTGTATTACCTGTCACTAGTTTGTATTACTAATTTAATTAATCTTTGTCACAGGTGTACGAGGCTGCTGGGCTGGCCAATGCTGACAGTTTTATCCGACAGTTCCCTGATGGCTACAGTACCATTCTGGGGGAGAGAGGAGTTACCGTGTCTGGGGGCCAGAAACAGAGGATAGCTATCGCCTGCGCTCTACTGAAAATCCCATCCATCCTCATACTAGACGAGGCTACCAGGTTAGTTGCAAGGGAATGACTTGATTGTAAAACATGTTAAAATGTAACATGTAAAAATGTAACATGTGGAAATATAAGAAGTTAAAATGTAACATGTTAAAATGTAACGTGTTAAAATGTAACATTTTAAAATGTAACATGCTTAAATGTAACGTGTTAAAATGTAACATATTAAAATGTAACATGTAAAAATGTAACATGTAAAATTGTAACCTTTTAAAATGTAACATGCTTAAAGGTAACTTGTTAAAATGTAACACATTAAAAACGTTATGAGTACTGGTATGAGTAAAAGTTTTTATGTCAGCTTGGTGGTTGAGTGATTATAGTACTGCTGTACTCGCCTTGTAATCAGAAGGTAGCTGGTTTGATTCTATGTTACTTTGTTTGTATTACCTGTCACTAGTTTGGTATTACTAATTTAATTAATCTTTGTCACAGGTGTACGAGGCTGCTGGGCTGGCCAATGCTGACAGTTTTATCCGACAGTTACCTGATGGCTACAGTACCATTCTGGGGGAGAGAGGAGTTACCGTGTCTGGGGGCCAGAAACAGAGGATAGCTATCGCCCGCGCTCTACTGAAAATCCCATCCATCCTCATACTAGACGAGGCTACCAGGTCAGTTGCAAGGGAAAGACTTGATCATAAAAAATGTTAAAATGTAACATGTAAATATGTAAAAT